AGGTGCTGCTCCACCAGCTAGTCATACTTATGAAACCCTTCTCAACCCTTCAAGAGCTTTTAAAATGGTAGGTGTGTGTTCAGTTCCAGAATTCAGTTTGGATCAATTTTCAGTTGACAACATGAGATTGCAAAATAAAGACCTTGCAGAAAAATGGAGAAGACTAATTCATTAAAAATAAAATGGATACTGCAACAAATGAAAATCATTTATCACACTTCAATATTTAAAAAGAAAATCTTATTAACCTGCCTTCTTATTTTGCATGTATGCTAATTACAAGTTAATTTCCTGATCAACAGCTTATGCCATTGAACCATCTATTTGATTACATCGTCAAAACAGGCAGTCAGAAGTTTATACTGCTAACTGTATGGGTACTCAGCTTATGGAAGGAATCATACTGCCTTTAAATATCTTTACACAAATGGAAGTTCCCTTTCAGTTCATCATCAATTTCCACAATTAAACCAAAACAAGTACAATCTCTTTGAGGACCAGGAGAAAGTAGTACTTCTGACTTCTGAAACAACTGAAAGGTTAAAGCCCAGACTGCTAAAGAAACATACGCTTATCTCCAAACACTCAAAGTGCTTCAGTATCTTTACTATACCTTTAACATCTGGATCGTCTATATGAGGTTCCAAATTTTCTATCATTTCTTCCAATTCTTTCCTTGTTGCCATAGGAATGTTTGGAGACACTGGCATGGTGAGTTCCTGAATTTCTCTATCGAGTATTATCTCAGAAGTCTGCTGAAGCTCAAAGTCAATATCTATTTCAGGAAGTGGAGTCCTCCAGAAATGGAAAGAGTTGTACAATTCCTGCTCTGAAAGAGAGGTTTCCTGTGAATTCAGCCCAGCCTCCCGCAGACCAGCTGTGCAGCAATGAGAGCTTCGCTCATTCTCGTCAGCCATTTCCCCGCAAGATTCTGAAGACAAAGTGCAATGGAAGGATGACTCAGTCTGGAAATCACTTTCCCGCTGGGAGTTATTTGACACTGTATTTTGATCTTCCATGGCATTTTCAAGTTTTATTGCAAAATCGTCACTATCAACATGTGAAGACAGATCCTCTGTCCTGTTGTGCTCATCTTCTGTTGTAACATCTTCTGTAGTCCTGACTTGTTTGCTGTTGAGTGCCAAAACAAATGCACATTTCAAAAACAAAATATACTTACTGCAAACAGATGCTCTTGAAAATTCACACACATGCTATCAGCTTGCTATTTACCAAACTCAATTTACTTACAGCATAAATGGTAGAGGTTGCAAGGCACCTGTGGAGGTCATCTGGGCCAAACCCGCTGCTCAAGCAGGGACACCCAGATCCACTTGCCCAGGACCATTTTCAGGCAATTTCTGAGTATCTCCAAGGATGGAGACTCCGCAGCCTCCCTGGGCAAACTGCGCCAGTGCTCAGCCACCCTCACAGTAGAAAAGTGTTTCCTGATGTTCAGAGGGAACCTCCCGTGTTTCAGTGTGTGCCCATTGCCCCTGGTCCTCTCACTGGGCACCACTGAAACAAGCCAGGCTCTGTCCTTTTTGCACCCTCCCTTCAGGTATTGACAGATGTTGATGAGATCCCCCTGAGCCTTCTCTTCTCCAGCCTGAACAGGACCCTGTGTCTCAGCCTCTCCTCGTATGTGAGACAGACCAGTCCCTTCATCATCTTTGTGACCCTTTGTTGGATTCCCTCCAGTATGTCCATGTCTTTCTCGTAGTAGGGAGCCCAGAACTGGACCCAGCACTCCAGCTGTGGCCTCACCAGTGCTGAGCAGAGGGAAGGATCACCTCCCTCGACCTTGTGGCCCCCCGGGCCTGAGCAGAGGGAAGGATCCCCTCCCTCGACCTGCTGGCAACACTCCTCCTAATGTAGCCCAGGATACCACTGGCCTTCTTTGCAGCAAGGGCACATTGTTGGCTCACGGTCAACCTGTGTTCACCATGACCCTTAAGGCCTTTTCTGCAAAACTGCTCTCCAGCTGGTCAGATCCCAGCCTGTACTGGTGCCTGGGGTTGTCCTTCCCCAGGTGCAGGACTTCACACTTCTCCTTACTGATCTTCAAGAAGTTCCCACCAGCCCATTTCTCCAGCCTGTTGAGGCTCCTCTGGATGGCAGCATGACCTTCTGCCACATCAGCCACTCCTCCCAGTTTTGTGTCATCAGCAAACTTGCTGAGGGCACACCCTGCTCCACCATCCAGATAATTAATGAAGATGTTAAATAGGACTAGACCCAATATTGACCCCTGAGATACACAAGCAGTTACTGGCCTCCAACCATGCATCACTGATCAGCACCCTCTGGGCCTGGCCATTCAGCCAGTTTTCAGTCCACCTCACTGTCTGCTCATCCAGCCCACACTTCATCAGCTTCTCTATGAGGATTTACGGGAAACCACGTCAAAAGTCTTACTAAAATCTAGGTAGACTATATCCACTGCTCTCTCTTGTCTATCAAGTCAGTCATTTCATCACAGAAAGTGTATTCCAAGACATCCTAAGACGGAATCATAAACATGTTTGGGTTGGAAGGGACCTCTAAAGGTCATCTAGTCCAACACCCCTACAATAAGCAGGGACATCTCTAACTAGGTCAGGTTACTGAGGAGTCATGTAGTTTTAGCAAATAACTGAAAATTCTGGTAGTCTATTAAGTACTATGAGAAGTTCCAGATCTTTCTATTTACCAAGACAAATACTCAATTTATACAGGAAAGTTAATTTTCTTAACTTGCAGTTCTTACAGAAGAAAAATAAGGAGGAAAAAAAAAAAAGTAATTGTAGATTCAGCAAATTCTTTACCTGTTTTCCTGTGCAGAACCACAATCTTCTGGGTTTTTACCATCTTCTTCTTTAAAGTACTGGCCACTGCTAGATGGATTAGCAAAAGTTGATATGAAAGGCCCCAGAGACTGAAAAGCTGCTTGGCGGACCTAGTGCAAAGGGTCCAAGGGAAAATAAATATTTTTTTTA